TGTCATATATTTATGACGGTAAAAAGTACTAGGGCCTGAGAAATCGTTAACTAGAATATAAACCACAACATACAAAATTTGTGATAAATGATTAATGAGCACATGTTCTTCGTAATAGTGGAAATTCCCTGTAGCGCTCTGTTTTTAGACATGTCCTACTTGCGAGCTCATAGATACACTAAAATGTCGTCACTTTAAGCATTTTGTACTTAATTGGGTTTAAACAAGTATGTACAAAAAGTTGATAGTAACGACATCTTTTGTACTTAATCACTTAAGTTGGAAATTTGTACAAAAAATGTCGTCACTACCAGCTGTTAGTTTAGTGTTGTAGTATTTAGGTGCAAAACGAAGTTAGACAAGCAATGTTTTGACAGTCCGCTGTCGGCCATCGTGATTTACTCTATACGTGTACACATTTACAAAGCTTTAGGCGAATAGCACAAGGTGGATATTACCATTTCTCTGGGTTTCAATCTAGGCAGTAGTCTGAGATTCTTCTAGTCCTGACACCAGACCTAGACATTTGTGATTTGTGTTGATTAACACTATGAGATGTGTGTTGCCAGCACCTCACCTGGATTTCACAGAAGATATTGAGAGGGTACCAGCAGTCCTAATGGTATGCCAGGAATCACTTCAACTCCCCGAGAACCTGGTCTCATTCGATCTCTTTCTTCTCTAGCGGTGTTTGATATTATCTTTATTATAGTTTTGGTGGGTCCTCGGTTCCAAATGGTGTCTTTTCAAATTAAATTGGAGAGAAGATTTTGTAGATGTGTGGTATCCGATGCTATTTTAGTATTATTATAAGGTGCATAATATGAAAGTAAAATGTTTTCAAAACTGTAGCGAAATAACGGCGTTTTTGGTCTGTAAAGCCGTGTCTTTATTGTTAAGTTAAATCTACTGTATAGAATCATATGCTCCAGTTACTGTGGGAAGGTGAATGTTAGACACACATGTGATTCAATATATTTTAGGAAATACTGTATTTTGATGTTTTGAGTCACTCAGTCATAGCTTGACAAAGGGACTATAGTCGGTCTTGAAACGTTGGTACACATTTAATACGTACATTGTTTGTGTATAAAGTAAAACGTTGATATTACATATTTCCAAACTGGTGAATCTTATCGCAGATACTTGTAATGAGGAGTTTCGTTCTTAGCCGCGAACAATACTGTATCATTTCAATTATGCGATATTAAGATACTTGCTTATCCAGTGAAATTTCGCCTTTGTGTTAGTATAACTTTTTGTGATAAAATATGAAACAATCCTCATCAATCACTTGATTTTTTTCGTCATTCGGGCTTTCGGATGTATCGTATTGATTATATTAAGATCATATTTATGACACTCTACTCAGTAAATGGTAAATAGCTATAATACAGGTAACAGTCTTTAACCTTTATCAACGTTAACACACAACTGCACTTTTAGCTTATGGATCAACATGAAAATTGAAGTCATCAATTCATGACACACACAATAACTGTGTGAATACAGTCACCGATTGCACAACACTCGTACACATGTCATACATGTATGACGGTTACAAAATTATGGTGTGGCAAATTGCAGACTAACACGATTTTTGTAGAAAAAAAACAATATAGAAAAGCAAGCCCAACTTAGAACTGGATGATGAAGGATTTATGAACACATGGGTACCAGGTGCACTGCCGTATTTACTTTTAGCTGTAATTTGTAATGACGGAAATTCCCTTGAAAAACATCAGTCTATTTTTAGACATGTCCTACTTGCGAGATCATATACTGCATTTGTGGTTGTTACTCTGCATTAATTTACTGCATACGTGTACATATTTACAACGCCAGACGATAAAAGCCCAAGCAAGATATTACTATTTCTCTGCGTCTCTATATTCACAAAAGAACATTTACATCTTCCTCACATGAATGAGATTATCAAAATAATGGTTTTCAGTAATTACTACAATTAAAGACGCGTTCACTCGTATACCATATACAATTTCTGTATTGTAAGATGGTTTCTGTTTTTAATATCATATTTATTTACCCCTTTATTTATTCCGACACCATCTGTAAAAATGTCTAAAATCTGATCTTAAGGGCCGTAAGAAAATTGAATTAATTAACTGTATCTTATATTTGACGGTGAACGACACACGTTCCTGGATTCCACGGAGGATATTGAGAGAGTTCCCCGAATATGCCAGGAAACACTTCAACTCCCGTCCAGTCTTGTCGCATCCTCTTTATTTTCTAGAGATGCGTTTAATCTTTTTTATCGTTTAGGTGGCTTTTCGGTTCCAATTTGTGCCTTTTCACAAATTAAATCCTAAGACAGATCAAAGTAATCGGAAGCAAAGTCGAGATTTTCTGTTTTTGTTTTCGAATGCTATAATGTAGCACTAAAGTAAGATGATTTTCAACAGATATGACATACCCTTTTAATTTTTTACGTCAAACCTATTTTAACATTTTAAACAGTCCTTCTTTACCAAAACTTTGAAAGAGTCCCATCATAGAAAGGGATAGATTTTCTGCGGTATAAGTATTTAGCAAATTCCAGTGGGTTTTTTTCAGATTAATATTATCAAATATTTCAAGCACTGACCTCAATTCCAACAATTTCATGACATGTAAGAACCTTGCAGATAGAATTGGTAGTTTCCATGTTTAGCTCACAGTGAGCTTATGCCGTACTGCGGCGTCTGTCGTCCGTCCGTCAACCTTTTCTTTGAGTGACTTCTTCTGAACAACTTGATGGCCTAGGGTTATGATATTTGGCCAGTAGGTACCTGGGATGGAGTGCTATAAAGTTGCTTCATTAAAATGACATTGACCTGCTTTCAAGGTCACAGGGGTCAAATATGTTTAAAACTTTAACAATCTTCTTCTCAAGTTCCATAAGGCCTAGGATCATGATATTTGGCCAGTTGGTACCTGGGATGGAGTGCTATTAAGTTACCTCATTAACATGACTTTGACCTACTTTCAATGTAACAGGGGTCAAATATGTTAAAAACTTTAGCAATATTCTTCTCAAGTTCCATAAGGCATAGGGTCATGATATTTGGCCAGTAGGAACCTGGGATGGAATGCTATAAACTGTCCTCATCAAAATGAACTTGACCTACTTTCAAGGTCACAGCGGTCGAATATGTCAAACGCTTCACACCACTTCTCCTGAAGAACTAAAAGGTATGGAATCTTCATATTTGGCTGATGGCTTCCTGGGAAAGCCCGACAAAGTTTGAGAACGAAAATGACCTTGACCTACTTTCAAGGTTACAGGGGTCAAATGTGTCAAACTTTTCATACGACTTCTTCTGAAGAACTGAAAGGAATGGAGTCTTTATATTTGACTGGTGGCTTCCTGGAATAGAGCCGGACAAAGTTTGAGAATGAAAATGACTTTAACCTACTTTCAAGGTCACAGCCGCCAAATATGTCAAACGCTTCAAATAACTTCTTCTGAAGAACTAAAAGGTATAGAACCTTCATATTTGGCTGTTGGCTTCCCGAGATAGAGCCCGACAAAGTTTGAGAATGAAAATAATCTTGACCTACTTTCAATGTCACAGGTGTCAAATATGCCAAAAACATCAAACGACTTCTTCTGAATAATCGAAAAGCATAAAATTATAATATTTGGCTGATGGCTTCCTGGGATGGAGCTCACCAAAGATTGCAAATGAAAATGACCACAACCTAGCTACTTTAAAGGTCACAGTGGTCAACAATATTTCAGACAATTTGTGTTCTGAAGAACCAAAAGTAATGGATTCATAAAATTTGGCTGGTAGCTTTTTGGGATAGCGCTAACAAAGTCTGAGAAGAAAAATGACATTGACTTACAAGGTCACAGGGAAAAACCAAAAAGCATAGAATATTATAATATTATTTGGCTGGTAGTTTTAACAGATGGTGTCGACAACATTTGCAAGGGAAATTTTTGAATTTTTATGAGAATATTTTGCTATGACTGCTTAAATATTCAGATGTGTGATACAGGCCCTCTGGGCCTCTTGTTTCCCCAACAAATATCAATCCAGAGATTGGCAATGGCTGCAGAGTCTGGAAACCCGTAGCTGTCAAACTATGGGGCAAAACATTGGTCTATTAGCTGGCCTTTCCCTTATGGTTCGTCCTTAAAAAGTTTTTATCGCTATTCATTCAGAATTAAAAAATCTTTCTCCAATTTAAAAGACGGTCCAATTCTGAGATTGATTAAGAAACAATTGGCTGCCTTGAGACCATCTTGGATTCTGACTTTTAAAGTTTTCATCCATTTTTCTGAGAAAGCACTAGAGGAACCCATCTCAAGTTCAAGATAGAGAGGTTCTTCTTTGTTCTTAGTTCTGCATGTTTCCTTTTGAAACTCATCGGAAGAGGAAGATGACTGTCGAGCGGGCCATATCGGATTTTGGCAGTTAAAGAAGCAATTGCTATTTCTCGGAAAGTTCTCAAAAGTAGGTTAAAGTTAGTCCTAAGTTACACAACTGATTGCAGGAGCCAGATGGCTTTCAGGCCACAATCTTGGCATTTAACAGTTAAATTTTGTTATTGCTTTATTTTTTTCAGAAATTTCTATGTAGTTTTCCTAATTCTTAGTCATACACGTTTCATTTTCACCTTAATCAGGAAAGAAACATGTCTACAATTTTCCAAACCATCAAAGTATTATCTCCTTTACCAATAGGCAATTAATCTTAAACCTTTCGAAATATAGACATTTTTGACGGTTCCTTAATTAAAACTAAGTTTTGCTAAAATTATCCTTACTATAAGTATAAACATTGAAGAAGTTTCATAACTTTCGGAATCAGCTTCAGTCTTTGTATAATATACATCCTTATTAAGTTTTGTTGCAAATTTTATCAATATTTAACCAAGTTCTGTTGCAGAAAACCAACAATTGGGTGGATGGATGGACGGACGGACACATGGACAGATGTTCCCCATACCAGAAAATTGGGACAGGTGTATACAAACCAATCAAAAAACAAAAACGTTTTTTCTGATTTTTACCACATGTTTGATTTAATAAGAGACGAAACAGATCTATTAAGAAAACATATAATATAGACAATACATATTTTTGTACAAAATTTAAATATTACATATCAATATAGAATTATATCTTAATCTAGCACCAACTATGTGCTGAGCACATTGTCACTACTGTTAGCCAAACTGGAGGTCAGATGGGCTGGAAGTTTTAAAAATTCACTGATGTCTAAATCTTCTGAGTCATTATCATTGATATTGCACTGACTTCCGTCTTGATCATCTAGGATGATCTGATTATCATCTGTAAGTCCATCACTTGGCAGTTTGCTCATCTCTGTTTGAACGACAGGCATTGGTCCCATTAAGTTTGTGTCCCCAGTGAGTGGGTAGTTGACCCCCATGGCTGAACGAACACCTTGGGCACTTACAACACCTCTTGGGTTTGCCTGTAACCATATAAGCAAATGAAAGCTTAAAAATTAGGTCACATTCAATGAGATACTCCCATGATATTTCCTGATAAATACTTTGAACTTAAACCTAATTTAGACATTCTATTTAGAACCTTAATGAAAATTAACACAATATGGTTTCTGTTTATGTCATGTGCCATCAGTCGGAGGAAAATGTGATATTAAGTGAAATGTGACATGAACAGAACTTTTTTCAGTGTTATTCTTAAACACTGTTTTCTTAAAGCATAATGTACGTACAAAATCTGCCATTTTAGGAGATCTGATTCTAAACATTCAACAAAGATCCCACTTGTTATAACAGAAACCTCCTTGTGTATTGTTTTACAAAAGTCCATGGTAAGAAAATGGACCTTAAGAGCTATTATATAAAAGGTAATATTTGTTTTCCTAGGTTTAAACCTAACAGGAATTTCGTTTAATTAATACATTGGAAAACTAGGAAAAGAATATGATATTAGTATGAGTTTATGTAAAATTGGATTATTTAAAAAAAATAATCAATGAACCGAGAGAAACAGTTATTGACATTAAATCCACTTCATCACTAAAACATCTATAAATTTGTAACCTACTGTAGTAATGTAATTCTTACCGATTTTGCCAATTCCTTCAATTCTTTTGTTACTTTTTGGGCTGAAATAATAAACATTAAATCACTGATAGCAAAGGACACAGTTAGATCAAATCATTTTGTGTAGGTAATACTCAAATTTATAACTAAATTTTAAATGCAGATGTTTTCAGTAGTAATATTATTCGGTCGTCTTATAAGAAATTTAAGTTTAAATATTAAATATGCATTTTCGATTCCTCTAAATGATAAAACACATTTCATTTTCCTGACAGCATTCAAATCATCATCTATAGTTAATAATAGAAACCCAAAGATGATCCAATTATTTTAGTCATAAAGAAATGAATTAGTTCAGAGAACAATAATATATTTTGATATTTTGTAAAAATATTACATAACAATACTTTTCAAGTATCCTCTCCCTTACCTAGTTGGATTTCTTTCTCAGACGGCCCAGGTAAAAGTGACAGGTGTGGAGGAAGCCTGCTGCTGAGGCGTTCATTCTGGGTCTGCTGGAGGTCGTTTAGAAGACTGGCTGTCTGGTCTAACTTCTCCTGAACAGGGTCCTTTTTGGGTTCACTTTCTATAAAAACATTTCAACAAAATTTTACTGAAAATTTGCAAAAACATGTATGACAAGTTAATATAAAAAGTATTTATTTTGCTCACTAAAGAAATTTACAGTCATTAACACAGTTGACATGTGCCCAGATATTACATATCGGTATTATAACAAATATCAACTTTTAATCCCTGAAAAAAGTAATTAATTTTTTTCTCCAAAATTTATTTCAAAGGGACAACCTTTGCTTTCAGTTCAATCCCAGATTGACTATAAACTCTTACAACGCCTTCCGATGGCAACCAACTGTAAAAGCAACCCCGTAAAAACACATGATTTACAAAAATTACCTATATTTTAATTCAGTACATTAACAGCAAAACAAAGACAGATAATTAAATCCTTTTCAGAACTGTAACTGAAAACTAGACTGCTTACCATAATGGTCGAGGAATGAGACATCCACCCCCAACTGACTGAGGCTCCGAAGCGAAGACATGTCAGCAGAAGTTGGTTGTTCAGAACCATTTTCCTGGGTAGGGATTTCCTGCTGGGACTTCTGCTGTTAGTTTTGATAATGTAAAGACAATTCAGATATTAAAACCACCATATTGAATCAATATTATGTCAGTGTCTATATTTTTCACAAAGATAATGAAAGAGTACTATGTCTTCCAGCTAGATTTTTTTGGTAAAAGTTTTGCTGTGACTTAGAAGCTCTCTATCTGACAAATAGGATATAAAAGACAGACTGGTGTATTAGTTATGTTTTGCTTGACAAAAATGCAACTTGGAGTGAAAAATCACTGTAAAACAAGAAAGTGTTTTTCTGACATTTTTCAGCAGTTGTATTTGAATTCCAATTTGTTTGGTATATTTGTAACGTAGAGTTGCTTATCCAACTATAATGACAAACAGTTACATAGAAAAGAAATTTCATATGTCTTAATTATAATTTCATTTTTCACAAAACATCTATGCCACGAGGGTTAACTCAGTCACCCCTGAAGACACATTAGAACTCTTCCACTTCAAAGGTTATTATAGTTCATTATATAATTTCAGTGGTGAATGATTTAAATCCACAGAAATTTCAGTCATAAAGCTTTTTCATTGTACAACCAGTCATGAAATTTGAAATTTTTATATTTGCAATATTACTGGGACTCTCTACCTTAAACAAAAATACACATACAAATATGTGACATTAAGTGAAATGTACTGTATAAATGATATGTATGTTTTAACTTTAACCACACAAAGTTTGCAAAGTATACTTTCATAAACACACCTAATTCTATATTTTTATCACATACCTGTTGAATCTTGTTATAGTAATACAAGCAATTTTCAGACCATGAAATACAACGTTCTGTTTTGCACATGTGCAATACGGAATGTTGTATTTACCTACTAGCCGTAACTACTTTTTTATGGGAATCCCCTTGTCATGGCGAATTGAAAAGTATTTGCAAAAAATATCAAAGTTTATATAATCTTTGTATCAATCCCTACCAAATACGTAAGGTATGTGATAAAAGCAAGACCACACACTTATGTTTTTCTAACGAATCAGAAAGCACTCAATTATTGCGCGGACGTATATATTCGTCCGCACAATAAACTTGTGCTTTCTGATTCGTTAGAAAAACACAAATGTGTGGTCTTGCATATTTATTTGCCAAAATAGTAAGTATTGTTTTTTAATGTTCACTTGCAAAAACCATACAGGTTGTGACCTTGTAAGGTGTGACTATAAAGACAAATATGGTATGAAAGTCTAGTGAGGAAAAAAACAACCTTACCTCTTCCAGGAGTTTCTGAGTTTTGCTGTGTTCCCCTTTAGTGAGGATGTCTAGTAGATTATCAACCATAGCTACGGCATAATCTCCGGAATTCCCCGTAAAATTCATGATACTGTGACAGAAGATAGGCAATGCAAAGATACACTACAAAACTGTTAATTCTGATAAAGACACTATTGCAAATAAATATATTTCACACTGGTTAGAATAAATGGTCCTAATTACTGTAACGAAAGTTTATCTATTGTTACTGTGTTGAAAATCTTTTTTTTCTTTTTAATTAGAAAGGCTAAAAATTTGAAAGTGCTGCAAAAAATCACTGTTTGTAAAAGTTGTATAATTTCCTGAAGAAATAATTTTCTGATACCAGGAAATATGTAATATGGAACTTCAGACTTAATAATCAAACAAAAAATAGCAAACGATGTATTTTTAGTGACGACATGAGATAAAGTGCCTCACCTTCTGGCATACTGGACCCCAGTTTCGTCTCCGTATGTAGACAATAGAAGATCCGATTCTTCCTTAGAGATGTTAGAGAATGTGGAATCATACTGGGGTGCGTAGCTACTGAACGGCCCGTAGTTCAAATAGGTAACTTCAAAAAATAAACAAACTTTCAGATTGTTTTGACTTTATACACTTAATGGTCTAATCTGAAATAGCTATAGATCTTAAACAGGAAGTAGCTACAAAGGTCTTTTTTAAAGGACTGAAAAGTTTGTTCAATACATACATTATTTTCAATGGGACATTCTTATAATTCATAAATTAGCTGGTTATTGAAATTGACATCACAACAGTGAATGCCACAACACATTTTGTACTAAGCAACTCTGTGTTACCTATCTGCCATAAAAACAATTTTACTGTTTCAATTTCCCATTTCTTATAATACATTTTTAAGTATTGCATTGTTTTTAGACTAGCCAAAATAAACGTCAATTATAATGGGGGAAAAAAAATCAATGAAGTGGCTGGCCCTTCATGTACAATTTGCAAGTTTTCAGTCGACATTCATATTGAATAAGAATACTAACTGAAAGCAGTTCAATAATTGTTTTCCATTTTTGATCTTATAGGAAATAAAATTCAATTATTAAAAATAAACTTCACATTTAGTAAAAATTAAAAAGCATGTATCTTGTACGCTTGTTCAATACAAGAATTCCATAGTAGTGGATGTGTCGCCTGCTCACTTTGCATTTAGTGAGAAAAGTGTTTTGGCTCGAGTTATCACATAAACAAGCAAACATTAACGGCAAAAACGATGAACAGCATTGGTATGTCAAGTGCGATATGCCAAAACGCAGAAAGTTGAAATTCAACAGAAAACCTGTAACATATGTTGAACATTATTTCTTCTAGCATTACCATACACAATTTGAAAGTAAGTGATTAAAAAAAGTTCTTGCATTTACTACACAATGCCCTTATTTGGCAATAAAAGGGGCATAACTCCACCAAAAATACAGATAAACTTCTAAAATGCAAACTGGTTCGAGCTATATCGGTATGCAATATGTGTACCAAGTTTGAGTTTAATCAACCCAAGGGAACTCAAATTATCGCACGGAAACCTTGTTTCGGACGACGCAGACAATGTAATATACTTACATGTCACCTTGCCAATTTCCAGGAAAGGTCAGTGGTACCCATCCTTACTACTCAATTATCATTTTATTGATGTGTCAATGAAAAGACTTATTGAAATTTAATGTTTAAATAAAGGCATTGCCAAGCAATTATAAAGAATTGGTAATTAATGATCAAAAAGTATTCTATGAAAATCAACATAACATCTATAGAGATTAAATTTCTTTTCTTTGGAAGCAAAAATGATAACAGTTTACAGTAAAGCTTCTGAAAACTGGTTTATCAACAAAATTTCATTTTATTTGATGTTCTTAACACAGATTCAGATGCTACTAAAATTGAAAGAAAGCAAAAAGCATTCACAAAAAGGAATGATACAAGGATGAATTTGGACTTACTAGGGGTGACTTTGTTGCGTTTGTCTTCTTTATAGCTGGATAGTGATCCTGTCCCAGATGTCAACTTCCCAATAAGGGATCCAAGGTTGACCACACGCTCCGTCTCGCTTACTAAATACATAAACACATCCACAGACTATACAATGTATGTACACAATATTGATTGGCTAAGTTCAGAGTTACACAATGTGAACAGGACATTCAATTAGTCATTGGTGTTTTATAACTTTATACAGGAAGTTTGCTTGAAGGAGGTTATTATCAAAATTATGTTTGTAAAGAAGTATGTTGTATTTAAAAATGATTTGTAAAAATAATATAATATGATAAAACTATAAATTGTTGCCGACTATATAGCTAGCAGCAAGTATGCTGCATTCACACCGACTTATGTCACAAGCCGACTTATGTCACAAGCTGACTGTTGTCACAAGCTGACTTCTCATTATAGTGAAATGAAGATGAATGATCACATTACTGTGAAGGTGGAAATTTTTAGTGTGGGAATTTGTCACATTTTTCATGTGGAGTAAATTGCTACAAAAATATCCACGCATGAGTAATTATTATAGTTTATAAAGATTACAAAGATGACAGATATATAGAAAATATAGATTTCAGAGGGATTGTCAAGGTGAAAATTTCTATACTGTGATTAAGAGTCATAATATGAACATTTCTTCATGTGAACATTTCCATTTTTGCAGTATCCTGACCCCCCCC